CAGGAAACAGGCATTCTGAGCAGCCTTAGCAGAGCTCTGACTGGGCCAGCCCACCCTTTCCACTTCTCTTTGTGCTCAGCCCTGATCTGAACCTGCTTTCTTCCAAGTCACTGAGACGCTTATCAGATGTGAAAAAGCAATCCAAACCCGGGCACACATTTAACCTAGCCTTTGCAGGTGTCTCGCTCAAGTGAGCTCACAGGAAGAGGAAGAACTGGGCCTGCAACCAGGCCCCAGACACCCGGGGCACAGCCCTTCTCCCCGCCCAGCCCCCGCCAGGCAGGTGACCTACCTGGCTCCGTGCTGCCGCTGTTCTTTGCTTCAGGTCGCCTGTCTGGGAGCACCCCTTGAATGTGGGGGTCCCGTCTCCTGGCTCCCAGGTTTTAAACAACGGCTTCACCTCTGAAGACTCCCACTGCAGGGCGGGTCTCAGGAATCTGGCGGCTGGCACGCCCATCTGCCGTCACTGCACCCCCACCCCACCCCACCCCCAGGACAGGACTGGGCAAGTGGGTCGGTCCCAGAGGCCTCACAGCAAGCCCGGCGGTGCCTGCCTGCCCGCCAGTGGGTGCCACGGGGGGGTGGAGGGGTGCCCTGCAAACTGAAAGCACCAGGCAAATGTCTGGAATCGTTCCACACGGGGGTTCGGAGCATGGGAAGGGTGCTGGCATTCGTGACAGGCACTGTACTTGGCGTTTCCCCAAGGCCCACAGGGTCAGCCTCCTCTTGTGTCCTGGACCACCCTGGACAGAAGACACAAGTATCAGGACATGTATACAGGGTGTTATAGCCCCAGACCTGTCACCAGGCTTGAAGGTGACAAGACCCAAACATCCAAGAACCAGCAGACCCTCGGGGAAAACAAGAACAGTGGAAAATCCCTGCTTCTCGGGGAATTTGGAGGAGCCTGATAAGGCTACAGTTCATCAGGAAGGGGTCAGAGCCCAAATCATCCCAGGAAAGCTTAACAGGAATAAGCAGGAATTAACTCTAAATGTATCCCCTCCGGCTCCCTCCCTGGGTTGGCAGGGAGCCCCAGGACAGGTAACTAACTACCTGTGAGTCATTGCCCCCAGCTTAGGAGGGCTGGGCTGCTGGCCTCTCCCTCCCTGGGCAGGAATGCCCGCCTGGAGGGCCAGAAAGCAGACCTGACCACAAGTGGTACAAGGCAAGGCTGAAGCCTAACTGGACAGACCTGCCCTGGTCCCCCACCAGACCTGGGGACACGGCTTCCTTTGTGGGACCCTGGGCAGGCTCCTAGCTCAAGGCCACTGGGCTGAGAGCCACTGTAAATGGCAGTAAAGGCCAGATAGAGAGGCAGGCCTCAAAGGACACTTTTCTCCAGGTTAGGGCCAGAGGGCTTTACAGCTAGCTATCTGGAAGGTCACCCAGTTCATACCTTGGCCCTGGACAGCCTGCCCTGGCGCTGTTTGGGAACAGCATTGCCTCAAAGTTTCTATTTAAAGGAAACTCTTAACTAGCCATTCCTACCTGGCAGCCTCTCCTAAGCAGTAAATTCTCTACAATAGAAGGGTTAAGTCCAAGAAATTGGTTTGAGAACCCTTAAGGGGAAAATGTAGAATTTTGCAGATTAAGCCGGGCATTTCGAACCCTCAGTTTCTAGTTTAGCTAAGAAATTTAGATGGGCAGGAGAAATGCTGTAATTAGCGAATGGGCAACCAGTGGTTTAGAAGCATCATGAAAAATCCAATAAATGTTAGTGTCATGGCCCCTGTGAACAGTCCAGTAAAATCCAGCTTAACTCAACAAGCTGGAGTCAGCACACACAGCTTCTCTTCATGGGCCCTGCCTCTGCAACAAGGACACAGAGAGACCCCCATTGAGTCCCCCCCAGAGAAAGGTCACTGCTGACACCCTCAGGTTCTGAGTCTACCTGCCTGGTGTCAATTCTCTCCACTTCTCCAACTCCCAAGGAAGCTTCCAGCCTCCTGGAGATGCCCATCCTCTGCCCACCACCAGGAAAGAGGATGGGACAAAGAACTCATTAATAGTTCACTCAACAGAAGAGCAGGTGATGCAATCCCAGGTCTTCGGCTGAGGCGGGGCGGGCGGGCGGTGGGCCTTACCTTTAAATCCCCCTCCTCGTCCTCTCGTATGAGGCAGAAGCCCAGGTAAATAAGCCTTTGCTGTTTCAGACATCACAGGCTGGGGCAGGTCCAGGGAGTGGTTTAGCCTCGCAGGAGGGAAATGGCAATTGCTCTGTTTGGGCCCCCCACGTACTCCTAGTCCAAGTCCAGGATGTTGTTTCTGCAGAACCCAAGAATAGCCCAGTCAGCCTCACTCCTTAGGGGCACTGGGCACACCCCAGTGCAGATCTAGCCCCTGCCCCCCCAGGACTACAGGGCCCCAGGCACAGGCTTTGAACTTCAGAACCCGATTTGTTCAGACACAAGAAGTCTAAAATAGAGCCAGAGGCTGGGTTAGGACCTAGCCAGGGCTAAAAGGGGGGCTGGGGCATCAGTCCAACACTGAAGCCCCCCATCTGGGCATTCCTCCCTCTCTCTGCCTCCCACCACACGGCTCTGGAGGCCTCAGCCCTCCGTGCACCCCGGACTCATTCGAACTCACCCTCAGGAAAGTGGCTGCCAAGTCAACCTTGACTCCTGTTTCTCTTGCACCCACATCAACTTACCAGGCAATTCTGTTACCTCTCCTTCCAAAAGCAGCCAGGACCACTTCCCTTCTAGCTTGAGTCTCTCTTCCCCAGACTTCTGCAATGGCCTCCCAAATGGTCTGCAGTCTAGACCCACCACAGCGGGTCTCAGCCTCCCCAGCTCAGAACCCTGCACCAGCTCCCCATTGCAGTCAAGGGCAAAGCCAAGGTCCTTAAAAGGCTCCAAATGATATGACTCCCCCATTACTTCTCCACAAGACCAACACATCACCCTCACTTTCAGTTCCAGCCACCTGGTCTCCTTGCTGTGCCTCCAAATTACCAGACTGCTTCCGTCTGAGGGCACTGCCTTAGCTGCTCTCTCTGCCTGGACTGCTTTTCCCCTGATGTGTGCAAGACTAACTCTCTTACCTCTGTTAAGTCTTGGTTCAAATGCTACCTTCTCAATGAGGGTGACTCTGACCATGCTCTTCAACCTGGCCCCATGCCTGTCTTATCCCTGTCCCCACCGCAGCAGTCACTCCCAATCCCACCTACCCTACATTATTGGTTGATTGGGCTTTGGGGGTTTTGTTGCAATACTTACCTCCTTGTAACTAACTATTGGGTTGTTGAAAAAGTCATGACGTATTTTTCTGGGGGTTTTTTTGTTGCAAAAATGCGTCATGACTTTTCCGACAACCCAATATCTAACTTACCTATTCATCCTATTTATTTTCTGTCTCTCCCCCACCAGAATGCAATGTCCAAAAAGGCAGAGATTTGTGTCCAGTTTGTTCACTACTGTTTCCCAGGTGCCTAGAAATAGTGCCTGGCACATAGGAGGTGCTCAATGTTTGTGGAATGAATGGATTCACACTGAAGGGTAAATAACTGATGTCATTTAATGAGTCTCCGTGCTTTTGTAGGTGTAGTGACACTCTCGGGGGGCACAGTCTGGGCTTTGGGCCACCAGAATGGGTGGTTAATAGTAGTAATTCATGCATCAGTCAGCTGCAAGGGCGGGGGTCTCTTCTGAGGCACCTCCCCTCAGGTTACAAAAGGTCAGCGTGTTGATGGAGGCAGGCATCTTCTCTGCGTGCTTCTCCATCACTCCTGGCAGTGTCTCTGAGGGCCAGAAAGCAGACCTGACCACAAGTGGTACAAGGCAAGGTTGAATGAAGCCTGACTGGACAGACCTGCCCTGGTCCCCCACCACATGGGAGCGGATTTGGAAGCTACTGTCTCCCTTATGCATCTGTCAGGCTTCAACCATCCAAGTTGCCAGGAAGATCAACCAAGAGCTGATCAATGAGAGATCAAAGGGTAGGGAGCAAGGAAAGGAAGGGAAAAGGAAGAAAGGGGGAGGCTGGAGGTTAAGAAGGATAAGAGGGCCTGGTCCAGGCCGTGAATGCTGATACTCAGGTGTTGGAGGAAGGGGCGCCAGGTGAGTAAGGCCCAGACATCACCTGAATACAGTGAGTCATGGCTGAGTCCTTGTCTGTGGGACAGGGTGGGCTCCAGGAGTGGCCTTGGCGTTTGCCATGTGACTCAAGCTGGCGTGGCCCTCCACTCCAGCACAACTGCTCAGCTGGCCAGACAATCAGTCACTCTTCTGTGTACCTCCCCAAAAGCCAAAGAGAGAGAGTGGGTCTGTTACTTACTGAGCAGACAGGAAGCCAGCCTCAGGCAGAGGCCAGCAGGAAGCAGGAAGGAGCCTAGGCTGCTTGTCATGGGATGATTCTATTCTCCAGTCCCATTCGCACCTTCCCAAGCTGAATGTCTGCCCAACGGACGACCGTGCTCATTGGCCTGGCAGTAGGGCTGAGAGAAATCAGGCAGGCAGCCTAAATTAACCACAGCTAACATTTCACCAAGTGCTCGCAGTCTGCCAAGCACCGTGCTAAGCCCTTTATATGTATTAATTCATTTAACACCCACCATTTCTCTGTGGGGCTAAAGGGGGTAGACACTTAATTATCCTTCCTTTGCAGATGAAGAAAAGGGGGCACATTTTCAAGGACTTGATCCCAGCTAGTGAGTGGTCATTTGAATCCAGACCAGTTCGTTCGAGCACTCATACTTTTTTTTTTTTTTTAAGATTTTTATTGGGGAATTGGGGGGATGGGAACAGTGCTGGGGAATTGGGGGAAGGGGAACAGACAAGTTGCTGTCATCTTGTTCTTCAGTCTAGTTGTGGAGGATGTTGCTTCACTGGCCCAAGTTGGCACCATCATTGCGCTCTTCTTGGGCGAGGCAGATCAGTCGCCGGCTTCTGGACGGCCGCTCACTGCGGCTGCTGGCCGGTCACGCTGGCTGCTGGCTACATACGGTAGCCCATGGCAACCCACTGCCACAGGGGCTGCAGCCTACGCTGTCGCCGGCGACTCATGGCAGCCCAGCTCCAGGTTGAGCTGTCGTTCAGCATCTTAGCTGTAGAGGGCAGTGTCACTGGCCCTCATATGTGGGATCCGAACCGGGGCCCTCTGGCATCCCAAGCGAGTTCTTAACCATCACGCCACTCAGCCGGCCCCGAGCACTCATACTCTTAACTGTTGCTTAAAGCCTAAGATCACCTAAGCTCCCTGTCTCCACCCTTGGAAATCCTTGACCAAGAGTCCTCCACTGGACTCTGAACCTCATGTTTCCCAAACCTAATCAAGACCTGATACCTAAAAAAAATGTCTCTTTGAACGCTTGTTCTAACTCTTAGAGCACTGATGTTGACTGGAGGCTCTTGGGGAGACACTGATACTGTGGAAACACCCAGAACAGACACCATGAGGTGCTTGTTTGTCTGTTTTCCATATTGACGGCCTCTGCTGTGTGGGCACAGATAGAGACGGTCCTGGCCTCCAGATCCCTCTCTCAGAGGCTCTGGTATGCACCAGCAGGGTTTGCCCTCCTACCAACAGGAAGCTGCTCTGAGTGAGGACGTAAGCACCCTAGGAGTGGAAGCAGAGAAGGTAACCACACAGACATCACAGTGGCTTGACCAGATCACACACAGGGCATAAAAGCATGATACAACTTCCCCCTCACCGCAGGAAGGGGGATTCCCCTCCGCAGCCTCAACAACTGCTTTTCTATCTCCCAGGATACACCTCTAAGTGCCCCACTTCCTCCCTCCCGAGGGCAGCTTCAGCTTGGTGGAGTAGAATGCTGGCTCATGGCTGGCCCATGGCTGGCTGGCTTCCCGAGGAGAGGAAAATCTTGGCATTTATGCCACTGTCACTGCCCTCCCAAATTCCCTGCCTCCCTCTGGCACACACCGCCTCCTCCACCCCCAACCACCTCTACCTCTACTGTCCAGCCAGTGCCCTCCGGGAATTAGGTTCTCGGGACCTAAGTCCAACCTCTGTGACCTTCCTGCTTGTGACCTTTGGCCACAGATTTGCCATGTGGAACTGGCCATGTGGCCATGGCCAAGCCTCACATGAGAAGAGAGAGCCTTATACCCGAAAGGGACAACATGCAGCCACGTGGAGGTCAGGGGCGCCCGGGGAAGGGACACACAAAGGAATGGTGGAGAGAGTCGGGGGGAATTAGGGTCATGAGATCTGCTCCCCAGGCCAGCAGAGGACTGCCCCACAGGACTTTCAAATTCTATGATCCCAGAAAGGGCCACGAGAGAGACAAACTATATTTCTTAATGTTCAAATTGGTGGTTAAGGACTGAATATGGAGACATGAGCATCTGTGGTTTGAGGGGAAGGGAATATGGGCAGGTCTGGCTTCATTTCTGGAATCAATACCACCTAACGGCTTCCAATCAGGCCTCCCTCCAGCACCCGTGGCCACATGGGGTCCATGTGTGGACTTCAACATGTCCTAAATCCCAGACCTAGCTCCTCTACTCAACAGAAGCATAAACTTGGGCAAGCCCCTCTCTGGGCCTCAGTCTCATCATTCGTAAAGAAAGGTGTTGGATTTTACTAGTTCTCAACCCAGGAAGGCCCTCAGAATTACTTACAGAACTTATAAAATCATTTCCTTATGCCAGCCCCACTCAGGGATTTAACTGGCTTTCAGAGGGACAAGCACATTCAGTATGTTTTTCAAGCTCCCTGAAAGCGCCCTCCAGTTCTGCGATGCTCTGCTCTCAGGGGCTGGTGGTTTGGGACAGCAGTTAAAAGCCTAGACTTAGGATGAAGGAGGTGAAGGGACAAGTCTGGCTCTGTCCTGACCAGCTGTGGCTTTGGACAACCAGAGCAAATTGCCTCCGATGGGAATAGTCACAATCTACCTCATGGATCCTTGTAAAGATCAAAGAAAACAACGCACGTATAACCCTCAGCAAAGGGCCAGGCAAGGTGTGTGCTCTGAAGAGGCTGTTTGTCCCCAGGTGTGCATCATACGCAGGTGTTTGGGGCTGTGATCAGCAGTCTCTGTAGTCGTGCTTAACAAAAAGCACATATCACTCCCATGCAGATGTTTCATAGCTCATCTCATGGGCAGTCAGTGGCTGGGCTGCTCCCCACCTCCTCCCAGGGGAGGCGGGGCCCAGGTCCCAACCCAAAAATCTGTGCTTTGTGCATTGCACTCTGTTCTGTAGGGGCTGCAAACTCCCCAGGAGCCATGACCTGGACCAGAGGGGGCACTCAGGGGCAAACTGAGCTCCCCGAGCAGGGTGATGCTTCTGGCCTTTCTGAACAGGAAAGGTCAGAGGGTAGGGGTGGGGCGTGTTTAAAGAGGACAGAGGGCAGAGCAGCAAGCGTAAGCATGACATTGTTTTACGGCCTTCAAGCATTAGTAAAACCAGAGTCCAACACCTGATAAAGACAGGAGTCAAAGCTAATCTGGACAGCAAGTTTATTACTTAGCTCAGAGAAGTCGCCCAGCAAGTCTTTTTTTCCTAGGGCCTCTGCTTACCCAGATCAAAGTCTGGTCAATATCCCCATCAGACAAGGGTGAGGAGTCCTTATCTAATCTAATTCCTTCTCCTTAAAACATCACTCAAAACTGACCATCTTCTGATCCAAAATACTGATAATGAGGTTTTAATAACCTGGGAAAATGTTTATAAGATATGGTTAACTGGGGGGAAAAGTAAGAAAACAAATATGCATGAAGCTTACTTAACTCCAAAGGAAAAAATACTCAAAAAGAAGATAGAGAGAATATCTAAAGTGTTAATATTTCCCATCTATTTATATTTCTCTGTACACGCCCATCTTCCATAATGAGCATATTTTACTAGAATGATCAATACAAGTAAAAAGTCTCAGAGGAAGAGAGTGGGTTTTGTCCACCTACAAATTATTACTCCTTCCTCTCTTTGCTCTGAACCTCTTCCACTGCACCCACAGACTGCCCGAGAATTTGCTGCAGGTTTCTAAATCATTGTAGATTTTGTAAACTATGGTTTCCCCTTTTTAAGAAGTACAGTATTGCTTCTTTGGAGGCTGTTAGATTTCTTTTGTCAAGAAAGCACTTAGCCAGCCAGCCAAGTGGCGCATTCGTTAAGAGCTGGCTTGGGATGCCAGTTCTGAGCAGCAAGGCACCAGTTCGGATCCCACATGAGGAACAGTGACACTGCCCTCTACAGCTAAGATGGTGAACAACAGCTCGACCTGGAACTGGGCAGCCATGAGTCGCCGGCAACGGCGTAGTCTGCAGCCCCTGCCGCAGTGGGTTGCCATAAGCTACCGTGTGTGGCCAGCAGCCAGCATGAGCTGCCAAAAGTTGCCATGAGCAGCCGTCCAGAGGATGGCAACCCATCTGCCTCAGCCAGGAAGAGTGCAATGATGGTGCCAGCTTGGGCCAGTGAAGCAACGTCCTCCACAGCTAGACTGAAGAATAAAAGGACAGCAACTTGTCTGTTCCCCTTCCCCCGATTCCCCAGCACTGTTCCCCTCCCCCAATTCCCCAATAAAACCTTTAAAAAAAGAAGAAGAAAAAGAAGAAGAAAGCACTTGGCACAGTTTCTCAATAAACGTACATACTAATAAATGTGTGCGGAAGAAAAAGACAAGGAGGAAGGGAGGGCAGAACATGTCTTCTAAGGAACTACCAGAACCTCGTCTTCCTGCTTGTATGTCTTAGGACAAACCAAAAAGAAGAGCGTCAGTTCTCATTTACCTATATTTTGAGGGGAAAGAGGAAGTGAGGGTAACTAAACTTTTTATCCTCGCCCAAATTTGCCACTTCCGTGCAATTGTCCTGGGATAATGCCACCTAATTCTGAACTTTCTCATTGCTCACTCAGAAAGTTGTAAACCCAGCAACTCATAGTGTTCAAGTACAAATAAGCATTTGTGGTCATAACTGGGGGATTATATCTCTGTCTCGTGTGTGCACTGCCTCCAACAAGAGACTGACAGCTCCTTGTAGCAAGGATTGCCAGATAAAATACAGGGGTCCCAGTTATGTTTGAATCTCAGATAAACAAGGGATACCTTGTTAGTCTAAGCAGACCCCAGATATTGCATGGGGCATATTTATACTAAGATAGTATTCATTATTTATCTGATATTCTAATTTTACTGGGCTACTTGCATGTTTATTTGCTAAATCCCCCAAACTTACTTGTGTGTTATTCGGCCAGTCCCATGACTTCCAGACTTGTCCTAACCTAGTCATGTTCCTCTAGAAATTGCCCCATCTGTCAATAATCTTCCTAAAATGTGATGCTTACAAGTGCATACAGGCATCCTGGTGTCCAGATGCCTGACATCTAGGCATGGGTCCCTTTAGCAAAGAGCACTCGAGGTGAAGGACTGAGAACTGAACTAACAGTGTAGAGCTGGGCCTAGTCCCTGCCTCATCTGGAGACTACGTGTGTGCTCCCCTGGGTATTATTGGCTGTATTTACTCCTTTGTTTAAATACTGCTCCAGAAAGAAATAGCTATGTATTACCCTGAAAGGACAGAAGGGAACAAAATATTTTTTCCAGCTCTTGCTATGTGTGAGGCAGCATTCTATCTCATTTAAGCACCCTTTACGATGCCTCTTTGAGGGAGATATTATTCCTTTTTTTTTTTACACTCTCAGCATTAAGTAGCCTGTACAAGGTTACAGTGCTATGGACTGAAGGTGCCCCACCCCACCCCCAATTCATCTGTTGTAGCCCTAACCTCAATGTGATGATATTAGGAGGTAGGGGACAATAATTAGGTTTAAATGAGGTCATGTGGGTGGAGTCCCCATAGTGGGATTAGTGCCCATATAAAAAAAGGAAGAGAAACCAGAGGACACAGCAAGAAGGAAGCTGTCTGAAAGCCAAGAAGCAAGCTCTCACCAGGAACCCAGGCTAAAGGCATCTTTATTTTAGACTTTTAGCCTCCAGAACGATGAAAAATAAAGTCTGTTGCTTAAGCCATCCAATCTGTGGTATTTTGTTCCAGCAGCCTGAAGTGACAGAGACACGGGCTAGTGTTTTAGTCAAGTTAGGCTAGCCTATGCCACAGTAATAAGTTAACCCCCACATCTCAGCAGCTTAACAAATGTGTATTTGTTGCTTGCATAAACTAAAATGCAAGCCAATGGTGAGGGGACAGATCCTCTGTTCCACACAGTCACTCAGGGACCTCCGCCATCTTGCAGCTGCGCCACCAGGACACATGGCCTTCACGGTCATAGCAGCAAGGTTAGAGGAGCATGAAAGAACTCTCCCCGGGGACTCCATGCTTCAGCTCTGAAGTGGCACAGGCACTCTGCCTACAACCTATCGGCCTGAGCCACTCACACGGTTCCTAAGTGATCTTCTTATGTTCCCAGAGGAGGACACTGAAGTACGGCATAGTGAACACACAGCACTGTCTCCCACAACGAGTATGGGGTGAAACCAGCATCCAACAGCGGATCTGTAAGCTTCCAACATCTATGCTCTTTCTACTACAATATGTGGCCTCCCAAGGCAGAGGGAATTGGTTTGTTCACTAAAAGGAAGTCTTATAAGAGGATAATTTGTAGAATATGACCGCAAATAAATAAATAAATACATACATACATACATAAATACTGGTAGGAAAAATGGCCATGGTGAATGTTTTAGATTTAGAAAACCTAAAACATCACAAGATCGCCCCATGGAAAACCTTAGAAACATACACATTGAAATCTCTCTGCAAGTTATACCCAGAGGATAAGCATTTACGCAACGTGTATGCCGTTCCAGTCTCTAAGAGAAAAACCCCGGGGACAGGGCAAATCTTCAAGGAGAAGATTCCAGTATGTTGTAGGGTGACTAACCATTCCAGTTTGCTGGAACGAACTTCGTTTTAGATCTAAAAGTACCACGTCCCAGGATACCTTTCAGTCCCAGACAAATGCTTTGTCACCTGGTTGTACGCTGATACTTTTTCTCCCTTGGGTGGCCCAGGGTGAATGCACAATGACCTGAGAAAAGTGAAGTTCGCTCTGAGTCCAAGAAAAACCTGGACAGAAGTAGCACATGAGAATAAAGCGCTCCCGCAGGAAAGAGTTCAGGAAGCTCCTGTGTGAACGCTTGGCCCTCTTAGCAAAGCAATCCTCTTTGTAGGCATGAGGGAAGAAAACAGTACAGCAAAATGACTATTGTTCTAGAGAGACTCTACTCCTACCGCTGCATCCAGCCAAATCACACCACGGACCCATACTGAGCTTACAGATACATTAATACCTCCGTCTTTTTCAAGTCAATCACTGTTAAAACAGGTTACCCTCATCTTGAAGTTGTGCTATTCTTAACACAGGCATGCACACACACACACACATGTAGAAGTGCATGTGCCTTTGCACTTTTACCTATTACATTTTGTCTTGTTAGCGTTGGCCTAGTGCCCCATTTGCTAAATAGGGTTCTGTAGGTACTTTGACCTGGACACTCTCCGTCATCTCCAGATGAAAGTCCAGAGTCTACAGCCAGGCACTGAGGGTCCTGCTGAAAAAAATCTGCATTTTTGGCCCTACCTCACACAGTCTCCTTCACTCAAGTGCTCTGATCCAGCTCTGCTGTTCCCCTGGCCACATTTATGCTTGAGTCATCATCTGGCTCTGACTGTCGACGCTGCCTTTTCTACCTTTTGTATCCTTGACAAATCCTAAATCCAAGATGCATTTCAGATTCCTGGATCCATGATGGCTTCTCTGCTAGTCTCTGTAAATTCTTCCCAAACTCTAGCAGCAGACCTTACTGATACAATTCGATTAGTAATCAGCTCTGTTCTGTTTGGTAAACCTTTTCTATCTCAAATTGACATACTTATGGTTATTCAACTTTTACTTTGTGATTTGTCCCCAAATGTGGATTGCAAATTCCTTGAGGATAGGGACAATTCTCGGCCACCCTTTCCATCCCCTAATGGAATGCCTGACCCAGTGTTTGGACATAGTAAGTGCTCAATAAACAGATATTGAATTATTACTTTGGATCCTTGGGGTAAGGAAAAACCTAACAAAAAATGCTTGAAAACTATGATGCTATTAATATTGCCCCATAACTCCCTCTCAAGGCAACATAAGAGAGAAAATCATCCAGAAAAAGAAATATTTTTCCCCCTAAGAACTGGAACCTCAGAAAATTCCTGATGAGCTAATCCACTGATCCGCTGACTTCCGGATTTCCTATTCTATCCACCATGACTGGCACTTGGGGATAGAAAGGCCAGGAATCAAGCTGGCAGTACTTTTGGTATTTGGAACTGAAATACTGATAATAAACAGTTTTAGTTACAAAGAGAAGCAAAAAATTCACACAGCAGCTGGATAGTGACTTGGATCATGGGCTAGTTTTTTTAAGACTGCGATATTAGAGTATGTTTGCATGCTGATGGAATACTAGAATAAAGAAGAAGAAACTGATTATTCAGAAAAGAGGAGGGATCTAGCAGGAAGTTCACCCCCTCTCCAAAATCCATACCCTCCCTCCTCCTTGCTAAAGATCCTCAGTGTTACTCAAGACCTCACGGCAGTTATCCTTTCCCCAGATCAGAGATTCGCCTCAACCAGCGGTTCTCAAAGTTTAGCACCAGAATTACCTGGAGGACTTTTTATAACGCAGACAGCTAGTCCTGCATGGAGAATTTCTGATTCAATAGGTTTGGGGTGGGGCTCAAGAATCTGCATTTCTCACAAGTTCTCAGGTGATATCGCTGCTGCTGTTCCCAGGGACAACCTTTGAGAACCACGGGTCTTAGCTCATGACGGTAATCTTTCCTTTCATAAGTAGTCTTAGGGGTGGGCCTTCATCCCAGCTCGGGCCAATGAAAAGAAGTCGCTGAGGGGACCTTTGGTTTCTTTGGCAAGGTTTCTTCGGCGACAAAAGAGAAAGAACAGCATCTCTCTTTTCACTGGATGGTATCATATTGAACGCAATGCCTGGAACTGTCGCAACTATCTTGGAACCATAATGTGAGCAAGTCTCCATGCTGGAGACATAAGAGGAGAAAGATGGAAAGAACCTGGGTTCTTGACAGTGTTACACTACTGAATGAGTCAGTCCTGAAATCACTGTCTAGTGAGATCATAGATTTTTTTCTTATTGTTAAACCACTTTGAATTGTATTCCCTTACTTGTAGCCTAAAGCACCTTAAGTCATTCATGGACTCCCAAGACCTTCAATAGATGAGTCAGGATGAGACGGAGGGACAGTTCTATATACGAAGAATCGGGGATGCTTCCTCCCTGGTAATGTGACAGAAGGTACAGCATATGGGTGCTGAGGCAGATCGATTTGGTGGTTGGAAAATGAAGTAGCTCTCGTCTGATTCTATTTCACCAGGGTATGCGGTTTCAGAAAGAAGTAGATAGAGCCTGTTTGGGAAGTGGGGAGAAAGTGTGGCAAAGTCTTTTTAGAGAGTAATAAAAATAACTGACTGGGAAACATAGTAAATTATAGCTGACTGCCCATTTGAGATTTGCGGTCCTAAATTGACAGAAAATGAACAGTCAGTCTGGCTGGGTAAGTTTTTTCCAACAATGATAAACTGCTTGGGTGTAGATTGATAGAGAGCACACAACTGATTCCAACCATGGTCAAGCCTTTCTGGGTAAATGTGAGAGAAACAGAGAAGGGCAAGAAAGTACAAGGTGTCTGCAAGGAAGAGCTTATGATCGATGGACCACAGAATCTAAGCCAGATTCTCCCCATCCTGGTTCGTCTTCCCAGTCCTCATCAAGTTTTTAATAGGTTTTCTCCTGTCATCCCAACAGGAGTTCCTAGCATGCTGTTTGTCTTAGTTTTTAATTGCTACATAGCAAATTAACACACACTTAATAGTTTAAAACAAAATTCATTTATTAACTCACAATTCTGTAGTCAGGCATCTGGGCACAGCTGCTCAGTGTCTCATAAGGCTAATAGCAAGTCGTACGGTGAGCTGCGTCCTCATCTGGATCTCGGGGTCTTCTTTCAAGCTGATGCAGTTCCAGAATAATTCAGTTCCTTATTGTTCTAGAAAGCAAAGGAAATCAACAGATAGTTAAGAGGTAGAATGACAAGTCTTAGTGATTGTTCACATAGGAGAGGTGACAGAGAGAGAGGGGTAAAGGATGGCTCCCAGGCTTAGAACCTGAGCTATGAGATACACAGTGAAGCCTAGACTAAGAAAGATGGAGGTTCAAGTTTATGGAATAGAAATATTGAATTTGGCCTTAGACATGGTTAAGTTTGATGCCTGCAAGATATCCAAGTGGAGATGTAGCATAGGCAGAGGAGACACGAGTCTAGGGCTCAGATTCATATGTCATTTGCACAGAAGCACTAATGGAAGCCTTGAGAGTAAACTAAATTACCTAAAGAGAGCATGTGGAATAAGAAAAGAGGCCCCAGGACTGAGTCCTGAGAAAGGCTGATATTTAGAGTTTGGACAAAAAGCAAAAGTGAGAAAAAGAACTAAGGAGTGTCCAGAATAGGGTAGACTATGATATCATGGAAGCCAAGGAGAATGTGGTTCTAGAAGAAGGGAGCAGTCAACAGTCCCTAGGCATGGCATATGCTGTTGATCATTTACATAATTGGTCATCATCTGGCGCCTGCCTATTACAACCTCCACATTTCCTGCCATTTCCCAAAACCCATTCTTTATGTTTTAACACCAGTCTTGCCTAACTTCTCCTGGACCATGCAATGCTTTCTCAGATGTCCTCCCTTTTCAGATGCAGTCCTTTCTCATTCCAGGCCTCCCTCAACCCTGACTCCCTCCCAGAGTTACCTGGTGAACACTTTCCATCCCTTAATACCCTAACCTGCTCAGTTATCATCTACTCTTAGGCCTTCTTTGACCAACTCCTCCCTAAATTGAATCAATGTATTTCTCATTCTATTTTGTTTACCTAATATATATTTCCATTATTGTGCTTATCCTAGCATATTGTAATAACTTATTTAATATCTGTGTCCTATACTTGACAATGAACTTCTTGAGGGCAAGTACAATTTTGTATTCAATGGTCTACAGTTATGCTTAACACAGTATTGGGATACATGGCTAGTTTCAACAGGTTTGGGCCTTATTGCTTACATATGTCACCTAGGGAATGCAAATGCCCTTAGTTGGGATAAAGGACCATGGAAACTGCTAACACGGAGTAAGAGGCAAAGACAACTGAATAATAACAGAATAATAACTGAATCAACAACATTTATTGATTGTTTCATTTGTGCCAAACCACTAAGCCCTTTATAATGCTCTAGCTCATTCAGTCCTCACCACACCCCATTTAGTAGGTGCTATCATCGCCCTCACTTTACAGAGGAGGAAATGGAGGCTAGAGAAGTGAAGTCACTCACCCAAGGTCAGACCCTGGTAATAGGAGCCAGGACTTAAATGAACACAAGTCTGTTCGACTCCAGAGTCCTGTACTGTCAAGTCCAGCTAGCATTTGAACTTGGGCAAAGTTCTCTGTACTAATTCAAGCTTGTAATGTACAGTACTGCGATGCCAAAGTGGTACGTGGGCAGCAGGGTGCCCATAGCTACCCAGGGCTCCCAGCACAGCCTGCATGCTCCAACAGCTAGTGGCTCTGCTTGGCCAGAAGCCACGAGGGGCAAAAGCAAAATGTCTGTGAAGGGTCTGTTCCTCGGAGTTGATTTGCCAAGGCCCTGGGGTCCCAGGAGCAGGTTGGAGGTGTGCCCGAGAGTGAGCCAATCGCTGCAATGTCAGGCCCTAAGCTGGAAGTACGAGTGAAAGGTGAGGAAGCCAGAGTGGAGGGAAATCAGCCAAGTTGCTAGGTCTTGGGCAATTTCAACCCCAAGGACAAACCACCGTGCCTAAAATAACCTCCCAAGAGAGTCTGAACTGATCACTTTGCAATCTCTATCCCAGTACTGATCCAGGTCAACATAACCAGTATTGATTGGGCCCCTACTATACATGAGCATCATAAAAGGTGCAAGGATCTGGTCTTCCCCAGAGACAGGGCACGCCACAGGAAACAATGGAGAGCTGTGTAAAACAGCACACACTGCAGCGCCAGCCTGTGCAGTACAAACCAGAAAGGCAGCTGAAATTCACAGAAAGGAGTGGTCAGGGTGTACTGGCACAGGCGCTTGTGGCTTCTTGGAGCACATGAACCCAAGGAAGGAAGACAGAATAGAAAGGGAACAGCATTTCAGGTGGGCATAAGAGTACGAGCAAAGGTGAGGCAGCAACAAGGCAAACAAATTATTTCTTGGGCTGTGAGAAACCCATCTGTGAAGCGAAGGGTGTCTGTCAAAGAAGAATGAGAGATAACGTTAGGCGAGTAGGGAAGATTCATTCATAGACGTCCTGGATTCCAAAAATATTGGTCAAGCAAATCTAACAGGCAGAATCCAGGAGTTCATCATACGGGTGAGAAATCATCCCAGGCTTTACACGGGCAATTAAGAATAAAAAAAATGTAATTTTAGGAAGATTTATTTGGTGGTAGTGTTTGAGATGGATTAGAAAGGAGAGGACAAAAGGCAAAAAAAAAAAAAGGAATCTCGAATGCTTTTTGAGCATCCACTAAAAGCCTGACTGCATGCAAATTTAACAAATATAGTTCCTCCCCCACCAGGCTTTGCAATCCAATGGGAGAGACATTCATTAATGCCACAGTTACCTAGTAAGAACCTACTATGTGCCAAGGACTATACTGGGCCCTGGGGACACAGGGAAGAACAAAACAAAGTCCCGGCCCTCATGGGGCTCATCCTCCAAAGGACGAGGAAGACAACACAAAAAGCAAACCAATAATTATATCAACATAAAGTCAGGTACTGAGCGCTATGGAGAAAAATAAAGCAGGGCATTGGGTAGAGAACGGTGGCATGAAATGGTCAGGGAAGGCCTCTCATGACGCAGCATAGGCTTTACATCTCTAAAGTGACATCAACGAGTTAAAGCATGTGCTTAGTTTCCCAAGCTCCATCTAAACCCCTGTCTTAGAAGCTGCGTTGTCTTTCCCCATCCAGACTGGGGAGCTGTGTCAGAAATTGTTAGGTGAGAAGTGACCCTGGATTCCTCAGCCTTCTATTCCCTCCATGTCCCACTCAGCCCAACCTGCTACCTAAACCAGGAACACCAACTCCACCGGCGACCACAGTCCATGCCATTTGCAGTCCTCTGCCCAGCCCTGGACAGCAAGCTGGTGGGCCTGAGGGTCAACTGAAGTCAGATTATCAAAGAGGGAAAGAGGGGAACTCTACCGCAGCAAATCACAAGAAAGGGGATCTCCTAATAAATTGGACTGCTGACCTTGACAGACATGTGATTTGCATCTTTGAGTTACAGAAACTCCAGAAATCCTTATTGACACGTTAATTTAGGAGTTGTGCGTTCAAAGCTGGGCTGACTCATCTGCAGAACAGAAACCAGGTAAAAGCCCTGACATTAAGGTACACATATGCTCTTCCGGAAGCCACATGTGTGCAATACTCACAGGTCTTGAGAAAGCTCACAACTATTCTGCCAACTATTAGAGGCTTCTCCAAAATTATAAGGAAGATTCAAAGAAAATGTCAAGAGTGATATTAATCTCAGCTTGGTCCCCTGTTATGGAATTTTCCTGCTTGACAAGTTTAAAAGAATAATGAGCAGGGGACACAATCCTCCAGAAATAATTCCTATTTGGCCCCTTGTCACCTTGACTGCTTGTGTACAGAACAAAAATGTAGACTGTTACATAAGCTCTGTAGGTAACCTTTCCCAATCTGCACAGAGCAATCCTATTTACTAACAGCCAAGGCAAAGAGAAGTTGTTATTGTTGCCTTTGTAAACTGAATTATCTGGAAAATTGCCTCAGGCCCCCAAAGAAAAATTACTGTTAAAGCTTCCAGCGACTCAAATACTTGATCCCTGAAACAGCCCTTCCCCCGTCCCTCCCAGCAGGGCTCAGCCTGACTGGCTGTGACAGGCTGTTACATTGCATTACTGACTTTTGCAATTTTCTGGCCAGCCTGATTTCTCCTTCCTCCCCCACCACCCAGCTCTCTCCTTTGCTTGCTTAAAGCCCTTTGGCCTACCTGTCTCACCTTCTCCCCTACTTGATAACTCTGGTATATGGAGAGCCAAAGGTAAATCAGAACCCACCCCCAACCCCAAGGCAATGATGTTTAATCCTAGTTCCAATCAATCCTACTGGCCTCACCCTTCCCGGAGTGCTAGCTACCCTTTACTTCTTACCCAAACTGTCCACTTTCACTCTTCTGCCCCTAAACTGTTTCTGTAAACTGAGCTGGCGCAGTGGAGTTGCAGCCCCAGATTCAGGTAGGTGGCAAATAATTACTGAGGACAGCATGAAGTATGTACATTCTGGACACACAGACCAACTTTTACCAACAGCCCCCTTCCATCTTCATCACCCCCAGCCCCCAACTTCACTTCTCAAGTGGGAAAGGGGACGATTTGGACTTAAGGGCAATTCCCTGAAACACAGAAATGCATATACAAACACCTGCAGGCACAGAGGCAAACATCACACACACACACACACACACACACACACACACACACACACACACACACACCCCTCTGTGCAGAAAAGGGCACTCTCACTGAATAATCTATCAGGTGACCCTAACAATGCAAGCATCTGTGAATAACACCAGTCAGGCCAGAAAGAAATAGTATTATATAAGCACACTCTCCCTTATGTAGAGCCTGGACACATGTTCTGGTCTTTACCTGGACCCCTCCCCCTTGCCTTCTCCCCACCTCCGACCCCCACACCTGTGGGGAGATGACAACCCTTCCGAATAAAAACGAGTGATTTTTCAGTGAGGCAGAACCCCATTAGAGGTTCTCAGGCTGCCCCAGACGAGGGAAGCTGTGCAACCCATCCACACCGCTAAAAAAGGTCATGTCGAAAATGCACCCGGATACCTCCCTGGGCTCCGGGTCCTCACCATTGCGCGCACCCGCAGTAGGACCTCCAGCGACCAGGCCTGCCCTCCCCTGCACCCAGGCGCGGTCTCCCCCTCCCAGCCCCCCGCTCACACAGCCCGGGCGTGCACAGCTCGTGGCCGCCACCCCCCGGGCCGTGGCCCGCTCCTCCCCCTCTTCCCCCGTCCTTCTCCCCCCACCCCCTCCTCCTCTCTTTGGCTCACGCTCCGCTGGCCCCAGTCCAGGAAGCCCAGGAGGCGGGTCTTAGAGAAAAGATATAAGCGGCCGTGGGACGCTGACAAGGTGCCAGCTGCGGAGTCTTCTGGAAGAGTCGCAGCTGCCCAGGAGGAGGAGAACGCGGAGCCGGCCGGACCGACAGACGCGCTCACCATCCCCCAGTTCGCGCTGCCCCCTAGGAAGGAGCTCGCTGCGCCGCACAGGTGAGCCCGCGCCGACAGGGTCTGGGAGCCCCCTTTCTGCGGTTCTCTACCAAGAGAGCTGAGGGAGGGATGCTGGAACCACCCTGCAGTGACTAACGGTCCCCTTTCTTGTGCCGCTCCCCCCCCAGGTCCCTCCGACCCCGAGAGCCCAGATCCGGAATGGAAACGGTGCAGGAGCTGATTCCTCTGGCCAGGGAGATAATGGCCCAGAAGCCCAGCAGGAAGCTGGTGAAGCTGTACGTGCTGGGCAGCGTGCTCGCCCTCTTCGGCGTGGTGCTCAGCCTGGTGGAGACTGTGTGCAGCCCCTTCACCGCCTCCAGCCGCCTGCGGGAAGAGGAGGCAGCGCTGGCCGAGCTGCGGGCCGCCCGGGAGCACCAGGCCCTCAGGACACAGGCCCTGCTGGAGAAAGGCAAGCAGCATGAGGCCGTCCTCTGCAGCCGGGCCCTCTCCAGGCGACAGCAAGGCTTCTAAGAACTGCATGAGCCCAGGAGAGGGAGGGGGAGAGGCGAGAGAGAGAGAGAGAGAGAGAGAGAGAGAGAGAGAAAGAAAGAGAGAGACAGAGACTGACTCAAGTAGGAGAGAGCAGGCGTCCTGTGCTGTTTGGACTTCCTTCGGAGAAGACACTGCCATCTAGGACAGAACGCACACAGCTCCACCACCAACAGGAGTTTGGGATTGAGTTTTGCTGCTGTGCAGCACTGGGGAAGGATGAATGACATGTCCACAACCATGGATCTCTGAGCATCTGAGTGCATCTACCATTTTGCACTAGGGCAGAAGGAGGAGAAATGCTTTTTATATTATTATTATTATTATTAATTATTACAATGACCACCATTTTTGCATTTGAAATATAAATGTTTTATAGTATATCTCGTCTCTGATTCGTGAAAGCCATGGTTCCCTGGGGTGGGTGGGCAGCAGGGAGCGTGGGAATGCTGGTGAAGGGGATCTTCCCTGAGCCCTGGAGAGAGCAGCCTCCTGAAGGTCTGGCAACACTTGCTTCACTGCTAGGGACTCTGGTATTCCTGTTACATGCTTATAAATATTTTGAGGATTCGTTTTTTTGTTTCATGTTAGCGGTGGGAAAAAAGAAACTTTCATAAGTCCTACAAGACTTAGCATTTTAAGATCATAAGATAAGTCAACTTCTGAGCTAGAATGTGTGAATGGGCGATACTGATCAATTCTAGGGCAGCAAATCCACTTGCCATTTCACACCTGTGCACCGGAGGCTCCCCATGGCTGACACCTCATTCTTCCTGGCTGTATTTTAGCAAGAGAAAGAATGGGAGGGCAAGGGAGAACACCAAGGAGCTGGTAGGAAGACAGGGAAGCCAGCTCCCAAGAGCGCCTAATTAGATGTCTAGTTCTACCCAGGCTTCCTCTTCCTGAACTCAAATCACAGTAAGAGAAGCGCTAGGTGAGGAGAAGAGACTGGTTGTCACAGACCTCAGTCCCCTTCCTCCAGGGACAGCCCTTGCTCTGCTGTAATAACTCATTCAGAGGCTCTGTAGGACTCAGCAAAGGACATTTTAAACAATGGCTCTTGAAGAGGTAGCTAGGGGCATGCGCCTGCTGCCACTCTCCTCTTGATTTTAATATGTCTCCTGCCCTCACCAGGTACACATATTGCACCCTCGTCATCAATGGCTATACATTTTTGCAAAAACTACCAGTGATTCCTGTCACTGCCTCTGATCAGACTCTCTCCCCACCCCTCCCATTTTATTTCTGCCAGCTCAAATCCTACCCAGTGTTCCTGGCCCTGATCAAATGTCATTTCTCCCTGAAATCTATCATTATCGCTCCAAGCTAAAGAACAATCGGAATGTGGTGGAAGAGTATCAGTGGCACCACCGTTCTCCGTTTCCAAAATGGGAAACTCAGCCCTAGATTAAGACATAGCCTCCGCTTTAAATGTCCAAAAACTTCTTAGGGATTCACCCAATCTTATTCTTCTAGTTGGTCTTCCTAATGCCTCTTCTATTATGTTCATTATTCCTCCGCGCATTTGGCCACTACTTTGTCCAGATCTCAACAGCTCAAACCACCCTCTAGCACATTCGCTCCAAACCAACGCACTGCCAGACCTTTCGTCCTGCTGCTCCTCCACTCAAGAAACATCACAGACTCAATGTGTCCATGATCTGCTTCCATCTCAGCCCTTTCACCTGACTTGTCAGGTTGCCCAGTGTGAACCCTGGGATGTTCCTTTTGGTCTTCTGTATCTTTGTTCACATTGATCTTCCCACCTGAATTTCCTCCCACCCACAATCTCCACATCTGAAACCACACATGTCAAATTCTCCAAGGCAGGTCTAGTTTCAAATATCCTGCCCATTGCTAAGCTCCATATTAAATCATGTACTCCGATTTTTGGTTTAGAAGGTAATACCTATTATTTTTTTGGTTTGCCTATATGTAAGAAAATATATTTTTTACATATTTTCCTAAATATATAAGTAATACCCATATATTTTTCATTTAAAAGGTTATGCCTCGTGCCTATACATATTCATACTACCCAACCCAATCAAGTCTGAGCTATCAAAATCTCTATCCTCACTGATCTCCTCATTTCTCTGAATTCTTAGAGGTTGTACAGTCTGGGTCTTACACTGGATCACTCAGTAATGGACCTTTTCTTCCAGTTGTTTTATGGATCTGGATCTGATCATATCTCTCACAGTATAATCATCCTGAGGTCAAGGATCATATCTTCCTCTTTAGTGTTCATAGAAATTATCAAATCCTTGGCAAATGGTAGGTTCTTAATAAATACTTGATTGCTCGATCTATTTATAAAGTTAGAGCAGTGGTTCTCAGTGGGATGGGAAATAATTTTGTCACCCCAGGAAACATTTGAAAATGTCTGGAGACATTTCTGGTTGTCTGGTAAGGAAGAAAAGGCACTCCTGCTAACAGCTGGTGGGTAGAAGCCAGGGATGCTGTGAAACATCTTACAATGCACAGGATAGCCACCCATAACAAAGGATTCTCCAGTCCAAAATGTCAATAGGGCCAAGGATTAAAGGGAAGTAAGGAGAAAAGATTAGCTTAATAGTTTCAGGATCATGATTTTGAGGTGGTCTCACAAGACTATGCCTGGCTGTGATCAAACATGGTAAGTCCCTCTCCCAACACAGGGACAAAAATGGTCCTTGTCTCTATCCTGGTTGGCAATTTTTCAGCAACCTAGAAGAAGTGACAGAGGGTATACTTATCAATTCTGTTGAGATTAGTAGAGGGCTGAGATTAGTAGGGTCAGGATTCAAAATGACTCAGCATGTTGGAACCATGCACTGAAGCTAACTGACTGAAACGAAATAGGGAAGAAGATATAGTACAGAATTTAGGTCTAAAAAACCAGTTGTCTGACTACAGAATTATGAAAGCTTATTTTAGCAAGCGATCGTATGAAAAAGACTTAGGTGTTTTCACTGATTACAAACTCAATATAAGCCAATAAGGGCTTGTGACAGGCCTGCAAAAACAAAATCACACCTTATTGGTAGAAGTAGAATGTCCAGTAAAAGGGAAGAGCAGGAGGTTTTGTTTTACTTTGCAATCTGGCGGGTGAGAAACGAAAGATGCTAAATCCAACTGCTTGGATTGCTTGGGTTTACATTCTTTTTTTTTTTTACTTTTAATGACTGAAGCAAATAAGATCTAAAACCACAGCTTCTTTGGGCCAGCCAAGTGGCTCAGTTGGTTAAGAATCCGCTCAAGAGTGTGAGCTCTGAGCAACAGCGATTCGATTCCCGGCCCAAGTTGAGCTGCCGCTAAGCTGCCAACAGGTCAGCTAAAAAAAATTAAAAATAAAATAAAACCACAGCTTCTGGGAGAACCAGAAACTTGCCAGTCTCATACCTCTCTTCGAACCTGACCTTGGCCTCCTGTCAGGCCTTGTGTCTCAGAGCAGGATCTCTGAAGACATCTTTGTTGATGACAATTTTGTCCAACAGGATATCCACAGAGTACCTTGTGGGCATCAGGTGATTGTAGTTATAAACGTTAAGAAAATATTTGACCTTTGACCTCTTAGCAATTTTCTTCTTGCCCATGGCAGCTGACACTTTTCGGGGACAGCGGTCAATTCCAGCCACCAGAGCACGGCTGTAGGGGCTGTCTAAGGTGCCATTATCAATGGTCTTCACTCCGCTTTGCGTCCGGAGTAGCATCGGGCCAGTACCAGCACCGTCTTCCCAGGTTTCATAAACTTGCCCATTTTGACAGTAGCCACTGGAACCTACAGCCAAAAGGAAAGAACTGCTCTTCTCTCTGGGTTTGCATTCTGACTCCCCTATTTGTGAGTTCTAAGACCTTGGACTAGTTACTTATAACCTGTCTGCCTCAAGTTACTTAAATTATTTCCTCATTTATAAAATAGTACCTTCCTCTTGAGATAATTTTGCAAATTAAATGAGATAAGTGCTTAGAGAGTACCTGGCATATACAATTGACCCTTGAACAATGTTACGGGCACTGAGTTCCGTCCAGTTGAAAATCCATGTATAATTTTTGACTCCCCCAAAACTTAACTACCCTCATTATTCATGGGGGATTGGTTCCAGGACTTCCCCCACTGGGCATATACCAAATTCTGTGGATGTTCATGTCCTCTATATAAAATAAGGTAGATCAGTATGCCCTCCAAATCCACAGACTCCCAACCACAGATCAAAGACAGTACAAGTTACTCATTGAAAAAATTCTCACATAACTAGACCTATGCAGTTCATACCTGTGTTGTTCAACTGTAGTAAGCTTTCCGCCAATGATAATTGTTGTTGGTGTTACAATGTAAGACAAACCTGTTTAGAGTAGAGTGACTTGGGCAGATAAAAGTACAGAAACCCCGTCACATATGGAACAATAAAATGGATCACAAGAGAAGAGTAGATACAGTAGTGTCACGTAACAATTGCCTCCAAAGATTTGAAGGGCTGCCTCACCCCATAAATACATTTCAGAGTGCCAGCCAATCAACAAATAAATATGCTTCTATAGATGACGTCAGCCCACTTGTGTCTGGGAAAGTACATCAATTCCTGAACTTCATGCTTCCTCAAAACCAACAAGTGTACATATTGGGCTCCTTGGGTCCAAACTCTATTTGTCCTTCAATCTGTTGCCAGATAAATCAGGGTCAACAATAGTCTGAATTCAATTAGTTTCACTGAGTTCTCACCATTTCTATGATTTGTAACCAAGCAGGTCTTTATATAAATCCATTAAACTTCAATCTTTGTATAAAATAATTAGAAACTTAGTTTACAGATGTACATCCTGGTAAATAATTATACCTAGACCTTTACATAAGGTTATTAGACATTTTGTTTGCCAGGTATAGCACTGCAAAATTAAACACAGATCCATATAAATTCATCAGAGCTTTTTGTTTTAGAGGTGTACCATTGGATAACTAGTTTTGCCGTTAAACTGCTTAATCCTCTGGTGTTCACTTTGCTTTTGCTTTTGCTTGTCTATATTATCAAGTCTTATTTTATGTGTTCTTGTTTTGCTGTGGAACATC